AACAGAATTTTTTTTTTTTTTTTTTTTTTTTATAGAGGTCAGACATATCGAAATTGGCGTCCTTTTAACCTGTCTATTTCTTTTCTTTACAGCTCATACACATCCACACATACATTTTCTTCAAAATTTTCATTGTAGATTTAAAAAGTAGAAAAAAGGGTACTGATAATTTTGTGATTGCAAAAAATGTTATTGCGCAGGCAAACATTGGTCAAGTCATCGTCATCATCATCGTCCTGGGCGACAGTGGGTAAAAAATCCTTGCGTTTATTAAGTTTTCTATTAATTTTTGTTCCATTGACATTGGTAATTCACAATCTCTAATATTACGGATTGTTTTAAAGATTTATGGGTTAATTAATGCTTCCTGGGAGAGGGCAAAACTTCACTGACGAACCCGTATCGTATTGCAGTAATTTCATATTGATCAGTCTGATTTATTCATTTAATTTACGTTTGTAGCTAATAATAATTATCAATAGGGGTGCTGGGTGTGTGTTTTCTGGGAATTATGTTGATGTACTACATGGGGTTCTTTAATTTATGATTTAGATATGTACATAAGAAATTCAGTCAGCAGTATAAAGCTACCATTGGGGCAGATTTTGTCACCAAGGATCGATGACCGTCTTGTAACTCTTCAAGTAGCTTATCTCGTTTTGGGTGCAAAAATAGTTAGTTAACCTATCTTTGCATTTGCTAAGGGAGAGTTAGTGTTTGCGTATATATATGTACTTTTTGAATTTATTATTTTCAATAGAATTTTTTAGGAACGCAATATGGAAATTCTATATCTAAATATAAATCGACTTAATAAAATATGCCAATTAAAGTTATAAATTACGCAACATACTTAGGGCTCGTTTTGCATAACTTTTACTTTTACTCTTGCTTCTTATAGAAGAGTTTTTGGAGGAAATTATCTTAATTTTGTTTGAAAACTAATATCTAAAAGTACTTCTTATTCCGTAACTTCTTTTCGAGAAAGCCACATTGATTCATCTTTCTCTAAAAACTCTTCTAACTATTAAAAGCACTTTAACAAAATTAGTCAAATTGGTCCAAAAGCAATTTTTGGATCTCAAAAGTTCTTTATAATTTTTCAAAAACTATGTCAAATGTGCCCTTAGCTAATTTACCCAAAAAATAAAGTGATACACAAGCAACCATTCACATTCAAAATCCTCCCATATTGTGTTATAAATTCAAATAATAATTGAATAGTAGGTTATAAAGCTCTTTAAATTCTAATAATAATTGAAGGATGAATTGAAAATTATATAAGATTAATGAGGGTATTATTGTCTTTCAAAACTCCTCAATTCCCACCTTCTAAATATTGTTGATTGATGTGATCAGCATACTATGGGCGAAATAAATGGAATTGGTCTCAATTCCCTACACATTTATACCCTCGCCATAAGATTGGCAAAGAATTAGAAAAATCCAAAAAAGTCATTACAACAGCACACAAGAAAACTTAAACCACTAGACACAAAGCCTCTGGTTTTGTGTTCATTTGCTGTATATATATATATATATATATATATGCTTCTCCCTTACAAAGGGAATCAACAAAATAGAAAAAATTCTCAAGTCTCTTTTACAACTCAACATCTTATATTCTACAAGCAAATTATTGAACATAATGAATTCAACAGGCAGAGCATGGATTGCAGCAGCCAGTGTGGGAGCTGTGGAGGCATTGAAAGATCAGGGTTTTTGTAGATGGAATTACACATTCAGATTAATCCAACAGCATGCTAAGAACAATATTAGATCCTACTCTCAGGCCAAGAAACTCTCTCCCCAGTCATCTTCTATGGTTTCGAATAAGTTGAAAGAAGAAAAAATGAGGCAATCTGAAGAATCACTCAGAAAAGTCATGTATTTGAGCAGTTGGGGGCCCAACTGAGAGAGTTGCAGACAGAATTTGTAAATAGAGAAATTAGAAAAATCGCATTATGTTTTGTCGAATTTCATGAGAATTATTCTCGTAATAGCAAGGAAAGAAGAATACTGAAGAAAAATGAATTTTCCATCTCCTCTTTGCCCCTTCGTTGATAAAGTGAAAAGGGAAATTTTATTTTTAATTACTTCGCGGCACTTTTCAAAAAGATCTGAAAAAATTACATGTAGTGGAATTCTCCCTAGAATATGGTACTCAATTTGTAGTAGAATTTTCTCATTTCAAAGTCGAGGGAGTACAAATTTATTTTCAATACACTCCTCACTTATGGTTGAGACTTGAAAATTTTCATAAAATACATACAGTACTAATAAACGGGTTGAGGGAAAACAGCCAATGATCTGAACATAACCGATGTGATCTTCTTATTCATGCAACGGTTTCACCATTTATATATATGAGAAGTGTTTGATCAACCTAAATTGTGATAGCATCAGCATCTAGGCAAACCCATTGACCAACAAAGATTTTGTTAAAAACAAGATTTGGATTAATGGTAGTAAAGAAATTTTTATGATAATTTTTTTTAATTCATATTTTCAAAAATCGATAGAATATGATTGAAAATTTGATAATAAATTAAATTTTTATAATTAAAAAATGAATAAAAGTTATTAATCTTGTATTAAATATCCACCAAATTTTAATGAAGTTATGAACCAAGCACGGAGTTAATTGGCACCTGCAATTGCTCCTCTCTCGATCTTGCTCTCAGTGCCCAACAGAATGGAGAGGCGCTCGTTAATTTCTCTCTGTAAATTGCTCTTCAGAAACCCTTTTGGAAGAGTTTCAAACCCCAAATATCCATTTCGCTTTATCTCCCTAAAAAATTTCTCAACCCATTCTTATCCCAACAACTGAATAAACCCAACCATTTCTATCATCCAGCAAACCTAAATTCACCGACCTATTTTAGTATTTTCCAAGATTTCAGGCAATACATCGTTGACGCAGACAAAGAAGGGGATAAAATCAACCTCAAGTTTGTAGAGGCGAGAGAGGAGATAGAGTCGGCCATGGAGTCCAAAGAGACTGTATTTCGACGAGGAAGCTGAATACGCACGTGCTTCCGTTAATGAAGTTCTCGAAATGTATGAAGGGCTGTTGAAAAAGCTTCCGGATAACCAGAGATTGAGCAATTGAAGGCTGAGCTTGGACAACTTAATGAAGATTGAAATTTCATTTTCATTTGGGATTTCTGTTATTCGAGTTAAATTTGGGTAAGTTTAACAGCTTTTCTGACAAGTTCTTTGAGAAATTATATTCTAGCACAGATTGATTGAATGATGGAATTGGTAACGTGTTTGATGATTTTTCCTTCTTTAAGAAATTTGGCCGCTGGTTTGTTCTGGAAAATGAGATTTCTTGCGAATTGAAAATGAAATAACATGATGTGCCATGGATAAATGAGATTTCTTGTACTTTTATGATTTAGGTTTCTCATGGATTGCTTTTATAGCTTTTTTAATGATTATTAGAGATTGCGATGAAATTTTCTGCTCTATCCTTAGAATTAAATTGGATTGTATTACATAGTTTGGGTCTTTGGGATTGATAAAAAAAACTTCATTGAATCGATGAGGTCCTTTATAGACTTCCACAATTCCTTTTCGAAGCCTTGGATCTGCACTGTACTATCTCTGGCCAGCACTCAGGATCTGCAACCAAAGTCAAGTGTCAATAGAGGTGTTGGGTTGTCGTGTTGTAAGCCGACAACAGGAAAGTTTTAAATTTAGGCATGTCACAAGTTTCTAACAAAATAAAAAAAAAATAACTTCCATGTCCTTCAAATTTTAGATTTACGTAATGCCTCAAAATACAACCTTCTTCTGTCATCAATCAAAGACCAAGCCGAGAAAATTGTGTGCAATCTAAAAAACTACCATTAGCCAATATGAAAACTGATTTCTAAAGTTAGTACATTATTAATCCAGAAGAGCTATAATTCTAAGAAAATTACATTGCATAGATTGATGACTACGGATTGATGGCTTAAAGCAACAAATATAATAATATGGGTGTTGCGCATAAAGAATTCTCAAACCTGGAAATGCAAGCTGTTGAGGCATCATCCAATGTCTCTAAATTGATAAAATTACGCAGCACGTGGTCTGTTTTTTAATATAATTACGCAACCAAATCAGAAAACACGATCAAGCAACATAAATTGATAAAAACTACCCATTTTAAATTAATCAAACCCTAATTCTAAAAAATTATAGAACAAGATAAGATGCGAAAAAACCCAAATTAAAGAAAAAGGTAAAATTTAAAACCCAGAAAGGAAAAATATACCTTCAAAATAGCGAGTTTATGGGACAAACGATGGGGGAGCGAGTTGAGTTAAAGTGTGGCACGTAGATGGGGAGCCGCCGCCTGTGGAGGAGGATGTGGTGGAGAACGGTGAGAAGAGTTTTTGGAGGAAGTTATCCTAATTTTTTTTGAAAACTAATATCTAAAAATACTTCCCATTCCGTAAGTTATTTTAGAGAAAGCCAAATTGAACTAGTTTCCTTTAAAAGCTCTTTTAACTACGAAAAACACTTTAGCAAAATTAGCCAAATGAATCCAAAAGTAACTTTTGGGTCTCGAAAACTCATTTTAACTTTTTCAAAAGTTATGTCAAATGGACACTTAGTTAATTTACCCAAAAAATAAAGTGATACAAAAGCAACCATTCACGTTCAAAATCTTCCCATATTGTGTTATAAACTCAAATAATAATTGAATAGCAAGTTATAAAACTTTCTAAATTCTAATAATAATTGAAGGATAAATTGGAAATTATATAAAATAAATGAGGGTATTATTGTCTTTCCAAAATTTCTCCTCTCACACTTTTTAAATATTGCTGATGATTGATGAGATAAGGATTCTGTGGGCGAAATAAATGGAATTCAAAAAACTCATTGCAACAGCACACAAGAAAACTTAAACCACTGGACATAAAGCCTCAGGTTTTGTGTTCACTTGCTGTGTGTATATATATGCTTCTCCCCCACAAAGGGAATCAACAAAGTAGAAAAAAATTCTCAAGTCTCTTTCACAACTCAAAATCGTATATTCTACAAGCAAATTATTGAACATAATGAGTTCAACAGGCAGAGCATGGATTGCAGCAGCCAGTGTGGGAGCTGTGGAGGCTTTGAAAGATCAAGGTTTTTGCAGATGGAATTACACGTTCAGATTAATCCAACAGCACGCTAAGAACAATATCAGATCCTTCTCTCAGGCCAAGAAACTCTCTTCCCAGTCATCTTCTATGGTTTCGAATAAGTTGAAAGAAGAAAAAATGAGGCAATCTGAAGAATCACTCCGAAAAGTAATGTATTTGAGCATTTGGGGGCCCAACTGAGAGAGTTGCTGACAGTATTTGTACATAGAGAAATTAGAAAAATTGTATTATGTTTTGTCGAATTCATGAGAATTATTCTTGTTATAGCAAGGAAAGAAGAAAAATGAATTTTCCATCTCTTTTCTTTGCCTCTTCATTGATGAAGTGAGAAGGGAAATTTTATTTTTAATTACTTGGCAGCACTTTTCGAAAAGATCCGAAAAAATTACATGCAAAATGCAAAAGTAATGGTCCACGAAAGGCCAAAAACTATGATTTGAACATCCTGATTAACTAAAACTAAAAAATCTAATTCAAAAGCATCAGACTTGTGTGTGTTGCACTGTATTTTGCTGTATATACAAAACATGTAAAGAAGCAAAGTTACAAAAAGGAAGATGGCGTGAAAAAAAAATACAGAACAAGGAAATTGAAATGGACTCATCTCAGCATATTGCCTTTCCCCCATCACAATCAAAAATCATAATTTATATCTGATACATTTTGAGAGGTCGACTTTTTTTATCAGGTGCTCTTGCTCGCCGTACAGATCGAGGTTTTCATAGGGAGATGGGGCCTGGGAATATGGTTGTTTATCATATAAATCTTTTTCCATCAAATTCTGAGAAATTGTACAATCTGCGATATGATCATTTATAAAACGTGTATAAATTTATTCAAATTAAATATTAATTTTTTTCTTTTTTTTTAATCAATTTTATTGGAGGAAGAATCATTAAAAGGAATGGGTTTCCACTTCTTTGATAGAAGGACGGTCCATTGGAAGTAAAATAATTGAACATAGTACATACAAATCCTTGATCTAGATTTGGCACTTAGGATGTGTTTTTTATTTGAAAAATAAAGCTCTTTGTACACGTCCCGTCACATGAGGGGGGAGATCCACGCCCAATTAATGCACGAATCCCGCCTCTCATGTGAGAAGGTCGTACATTAAGCTGTAAGGCTCGATATACATATAGCATTTCCATTTTTATTTTTATAAAATTGGGCTGTTGAGTCAAACTTTATGTAAAGAGTGTAAAATTTATTGAGAGCCCTCCATTTTTGACGTTATATCTATTAGATCAACTCCATATGTTTACTACTAAAATTCTTATTAGGTTTGTACTTTCATAATCTCCCCCATATTTTGAGCCTGTTTGCTTAAAGGTTGTCTAATGACCAGTTTGTTTTTTTAGGGATTTAAATTGTCTTTTTTTTTTTAATTTTGTTGTATGTTCAAACAAACTTTTGGACTAAAGGGCCTGTATGATTTTTTTTTCCCTTCTTCTTTCTTTCTTAATTTTTTTCTTTTTTCTTTTTAATTTTTTTTTCTCCTAATGCTTAGTGGATCCATTTTAATGTCATGGTATTAATTTTGATTTACACCCATGTCAATTAACAGATTTTAGTACACTGTTACCAACTGTTTTTGGCGGATTTTGTTGTTCTGACAGATCTGGTGGTAGTTGAATTTGATTTAGATTTAGATTTATTGTAGTTTTTCTAGTTTCTCTCCGTTATCTTCTTCGTTATCTAAAAGTTCTTTCGATTTCGGGATTCAATATTAAGAGCTCGATTTCTCCAGAATCTTGTATAAACTACCATAAAACAAAAATGAGAGATTAGGTCGTAATTCATAGTCTAAAATAACGTAAAAGAAAATTCAACTACTATATACAAAAAAGTAGACTCAATTTAAATACCTTATTCCCCGACAACGACGCCAAAAACTTGTTCAATGAAATCTCACAAACGTACGGAACCGTTGAAAAGTAATAGATTTAGTGAGGTGAGAGTATCATCCCACAGGAAATAACTTTAATTCAAGTTTACTAATTTAATATGGAATTCGAATTATGTCAAATAAAAGAGAGATTTTGATTTATTTATGCCAAATTAATCTAACAAAGCAATGAAAGTTTGATATTTATCAAATTATGGATGATTTATTGGATTTAGAATCCGTTTATTACTGTCTATTTCAATTATTGATTCGTAATCTAGTTTCATTCATGCGTTCATGACAATCGATAAAGCTAATGTATTTAATTTTCTTTTTCAAGATAAATTAATTCTATCCTAACCACGACTCGAATTTATTCCTAGCCGAATTTGAATGGTTAGAATACATTAAAATTTAGATTATTTATATAATTGTACACGTGATGAATGTTATTCTTAACATCTATTGCACACATATTAATTTTGTCGTATTCTAAATTTATTGTGAATCTCTCAGCACCACAAACAACTAATTATCTAATTGGTAGCCAAACAATTGAATAATGCAATGGGTATGCAAAAATTAATCAAGAAACGCAAAAAATACTAAATTACTAGTCTTGAATTAGAAATAAATAACAAATAGGATTTATCTCATCCAATATAAAAAGGGATCTAGCCTAGTATGGTTTTAAATAAATTACAAGAAAAATAATGGAAAAGTATCACCCGGACTGTGAAAGAATACAAAAGATGTTGAAGTTCAAGTCTAGAGTTGTATTCTTTAATTTCTTGATGTAATTGACCTTCGATTCTCGCTAAGTTTGATCTCCTCTCTCAAAATATAGTAATTGGTCCCTTATTCTTATAAATTTGATGATATAATTGTGTATAAAGAGACAAGAGAGGGTTTTCTCAAGTGTAACCCCTTGTTTCTCTACTTATAAAAGCCAAAAAATAGGTCAAAATTTGGGTCCAAAAAGAGTTTGAATTGCAAAAGGAAACTGCTGATTCATTTGTGGAAAAAGCCCCTGCACGCACAAGCATAACCACAGCGCACGCACCATTGATCTAAATGGCTCTTGAGATTGAATTTTTGGTGTCACGCGCGTGCATTAGAATTGTCCAAGCATGTGCCGGTTAGCATTATGTCGTCCCTGAATAATTTTTGTATTTTAGTCATAACTCGCTTTCGGAATTCAATTGAGATTATTCAAAGTGCATTTTCATAATTCTTTTAAAAATACAATTTTTCCAATTTTTGTAAATTTTCCATCCGAAAATTGGGTCTCAAATTGAGGCTAAAAATCTAGAGCATTACTTCTTCGGTTGGAAATTGATTTATGAAAATATTTCAACAACATTTAACTCCTTTGACTTCAAATTGCGTCCAATTGATCATATGTGATATTCAATCAACATTTTATGGTCTGAATAAACTATTGAAGTTTTACACTTTGATCCCCAGACTTTAAATTTCTTTCGTTTTTGCCTCTTTTTCGTTCATTTCTTCCAATTTCACCAATTTGCATTGAGTTCAACCTAACAAATATAATTAAGCTATAACCTGCTCAAATCAAATACTCTTATTTATTGGCCTAGATAAGTGTACTTTAGGATTTTTTATTTCTTCTATTTTACTATGCTGTTGGGGTGTCTTTTCATTTTCAATAGGAGACATTTTATTAGAGTGGCATAGCTCCTTTACATTAGGCAGAAACCTCGCGTGCTCTCTAGGGCGAAATTGCCAAATGCCATCAAGAAGAAGCTTTAGAAAATTAAAATTCAACAAAAAATATAAAGCTGTCTAAAATTTATCTAGCATGACCCTATTTGAATAACCATCTTGTTTTAAATACCCTTTTCATTTCCATATTGATTTGTTGCATAACCAAAAAGAAAAAAGAAAAAAGAAGAAAAAGCACATATTGACATAGGAAGAGTTTCGACATTTGAGCATCATAGGTTCTTATATTAATAGAGGCGGATTCAAGGGGCGGCCAGCAGATTCTTTGAGAAGAATTTGTTTTTGTTAATAGATCACATTTTATATTATATATATCTGATAATTCAATATTTTTCCAAATTTCACCCATGGCTCAATTGGTTGACTCTTTTACAACCAAGTTCGATATGTCAGGTTCGAATCTCCTGTAAAGCATATTATAATGTTATTTTTCTAATTCGACCATTTTTACCAAAAGTAATACAAGAGAGATGATTCAAACTTGTGACCCTTTTCTTAGCTTATTGAGGACATGACAATTGTTGCATTTATTGGATTGTGACAATAAGGTTAACGTTATGATATATCTTCAAGTTTATCGGCTTTATGAAATTTAATAAGATTTTGAACCCTTGACCTTCGTTTGAAGCAGACGGAGATTTGGCCAATATGTCACTTGCTTAAATCAGCGCATAAGTGTATGTAGAAAGTATATTTTCATTTTTATAAAAAATAATTGTTATATTTAATTTTAAATAATTTATTGCAATCAAGGAACCGACCGCCCTTGCTCACTTCAAATCCTGGATTCGCCCATGCTTATATAGGTGCAAATTGTTATTCTGACTGGAGCAGCTTTCTTGAGATGAGCATTTTGGAAATCTTGATCTGCATTCTAGTTATTTGAACTTCTCCGTCATCAGTGAAAGATGTGCGTGGGAATTCACATAATGTCTCTTTGCGTGGCAATACAAGCATATGTTCAGCTGTGATAAAAACTACAAACTTATTTTGTCAAACATGATTTTTAAGTTATTCTCTTATTAAAAAATTTAGTTTTCTAGAAAGTCACACTCGCCTTACTTTCTAGAAAGAAATTTTTAAAAATGACCTAAAATGCTCTTTCAAGTTGCGCGCAATTACCAATTGAGAGTAAATTTAACTCGTTTTATGCTCTCTAATTTCAGGATTTTCTTCTCAAGCCTATAACGTGAATACTATCATAGGTACCCCAAATTTTCATAATTCTTGAGTTGTTATCAAAAATTTACTTTTCTTTGCGTTAAAGGCGAAATAATAAAAATAAATTTCTGAAATATTCATAAATTTAAGCTAAACATGAAAATGGTATATTAGAAAAAATAAACATATTCAACTAATTAACTTAATAACACGTTTTTTAATAAATTAAACTAACTAATGATTTAAAGATCGGGAAACTTAATTTTTATTTTTCCTTTTCTTTGATCCACTTGACAGCTCGCATCATCATCCTATCACAGATCCAATCGAATTCTTACTATCCAACCTATAAAATTATTGTAAGAGTGAGTGTTAAAAATACCCAGTAAGATACGTATAGTTTCTATAAACAATTGTATAACAATAAAATAAACACTTCATGCCACATTTCTTATGAAGTATATTGATGACCAAGTGATACACCTATCAGTAGCACTTTGAATTCTCGA